TAGGAGTGAATGGAGACAAATGGTTTTTAATACTTGATGTGCTGTTGGAGTGTGAGCAAAGTAACATTTGTGAAGGGGTTCAGGGAAACCGGCAGGCCGGACTGGAGTCCTGGAGATGGGAAGTACAGTGCCTGCACTCTGAAGGAGGGGTGTTAATGTTGCAGTTTAAAAACTCTAATGTAAAGCACCCTTCTGGCAAGACAGTGATGGAGTGAATGATGGTGAAAGTTTTTCTTTTTCGGGCCACCCTACCTTGGTGGGAATCGGCCAGTGTGATAATAAAAAAAATAATAAAATATTATTTATTTCTTTATTAATACATCAGTAGTTTCCCATCAAGGTAGGGTGGCCCAAAAAAGAAAAACTTTCACCATCATGTCACTATCTTGCCAGAGGTGCACTTTCACTACAGTAATAAAACTGCAACATTAACACCCCTCCTTCAGAGTGCAGGCACTGTACTTACTATCTCCAGGACTCCAGTCTGGCCTGCCGGTTTCCCTGAATCCCTTCATAAACATTACCCTGCTCACACTCCAACAGCATATCAAGTCCTAAAAACCATTTGTCTCCATTTGCTCCTATCTAACACGCTTACGCATGCTTGCTGGAAGTCCAAGCCTCTCGCACACAAAATCTCCTTTACCCCCTCCCTCCAACCTTTCCTAGGCCAACCTCTCCCCTGCCTTCTCTCTACTACAGATTTATACACTCGAAGTCATTCTATTTTGTTCCATCCTCTCTACATGTCCGAACCACCTCAACAACCCCTCCTCAACCCTCTGAATAATAGTTTTGGTAATCCCGCACCTCCTCCAAACTTCCAAACCACAAATTCCCTGCATTATATTCACACCACACATGCCCTCAGACATGACATCTCCACTGCCTTCAGCCTTCTCCTTGTTGCAGCATTCACCACCCATGCTTCACACCCATATAAAAGCATTGGTATAACTGTACTCTCATACATTCCCTTCTTTGCTTCCATGGACAAAGTTCTTGACTCCACAGACTCTTCAATGCACCACACCCTTTTTCCCTCATCATTTCTATGATTTACCTCATCTTTCATAGACCCATTTGCTGACACATCCACTTCTAAATATCTGAATACATTCACCTCCTCCATACTCTCTCCCTCCAAATTTTTTTGGTTATCCTCATCACCTTACTTTTTCTTATATTCACTGTCAATTTTCTTCTTTTACATACCCTACCAAACTCATCAACTAACCTCTGCAACTTCTCTTCAGAATCTTCCAAAAGCACAGTGTCATCAGCAAAGAGCAACTGTGACAACTCCCACTTAGTGTTAGATTCTTTATGTTTTAAAGCAGTGCTGTGTGGCCCTTGTGGTTTAGTGCTTTTTTTATTATAATAATAATAATAATAATTATCTTTTAAAAGGTATAATAAAATATGACCAGGAATGATTTGTCATGGTTTACACCATCCCAATAATTTAAACATACAGTGGACCCTCGGGTAACGACAATAATCTGTTCCAGAGAGCCTGTCTTTAACCAATTTTTTCGTTATCCAAATTAATTTTCCTCATAAGAAATAATGGAAATCCAATTAATCCATTCCAGACACCCAAAAGCATTAAACGAAATAATTTGTTTACATGAAATATACATTTCCCTACACAGAAAACAATGACGTATGCAGAATAAACAATACTGAAATGACACTTTTATTGAAGACGTATTGATGAGTGATGAGATGGGAGGAGGGCAGAGGATGGAGGAGTTTACAATTGTTTGGAAGGGGAATCCCCTTCTGTAAAGACTTCAGGTAACAAGTCCTTTTCTGGGGTTACCTCCTTTGGTTTTTAATGCCACTAGGACCAGCCTGAGAGTCACTTTACCCCTGTCGCACCAAAAATCTGTCCAGAGAGCTCTATTTCTGGCATCTCTTTAAGATTTCCTTAAAATGGGACACAACATTGTCATTGTAGATGTTGCCAGCATGGCCTGCAACAGCTGTGTCAGGGTGATGTTCATCCATAAATGTTTTTGCATAAGAAAGCAGGAATACTGCAGCAGGCTGGTGGCCCATACTAGGGAGGTCCTTCACAAACCATCCCACTAACAGAATCGTATTTGCCCAACCCAATTTTCAATGCTTCCCAAACAATAAGCATTTGATAATTCTATTCACTCATGCGCAAGTCCTAATCAGATCAAATCGTGTGTGTGGGGAAGCACCCTGGCTGGTATGTGGGGAAGTACCCTGTCTGGTGTGTGGGGAAGTACCCTGGCTGGTATGTGGGGAAGTACCTTGGCTGGTATGTGGGGAAGTTCCCTGGCTGGTATGTGGGGAAGTACCTTGGCTGGTATGTGGGGAAGTACCCTGGTTGGTCTGGGGAAGTACCCTGGTTGGTATGTGGGGAAGTTCCCTGGCTGGTATGTGGGGAAGTACCTTGGCTGGTATGTGGGGAAGTACCCTGGCTGGTATGTGGGGAAGTACCCTGGCTGGTATGTGGGGAAGTTCCCTGGCTGGTATGTGGGGAAGTACCTTGGCTGGTATGTGGGGAAGTACCCTGGTTGGTCTGGGGAAGTACCCTGGTTGGTATGTGGGGAAGTTCCCTGGCTGGTATGTGGGGAAGTACCTTGGCTGGTATGTGGGGAAGTACCCTGGCTGGTATGTGGGGAAGTACCCTGGCTGGTATGTGGGGAAGTTCCCTGGCTGGTGTGTGGGAAGTACCCTCACTGGTGTACATAAGAAAGCAGGAACACTGCAGCAGACCTGTTGGCCCATATTACCACCCTCTACCATCATCACTACCACTTTCGTATCTTTCTACAACCTTTTTCTTGAATTCTGTAGTGTTTCTCACCCTATTTACCACAGGGCTGGCACTAGAAGCTTTCTTTGGGCCCATGGTGGCTTATTTAGCAGTTACAAGCACTAAAAATAATGAAATAATACAAAATGTATCACATGTACGCATGGAATCATCCTCACTGGCTTGTAAACAATGGCACACTGGCTATACATGGAGTGTCCAGGTGCTCACTCCGTGCAGACATGTTCGGAACGAATGTCCTTAACCGAGTTCTTTTTCGGTAACCAAGCCAATATTTTGGCGCAAAAACGTATCGCTATCCGATTTTTTCGTTATCCAATAACATTGTTACCTGAGGGTCCACTGTATCTAGCAAAAACCCATAAAACAAGCCAGGGGGGGGTGTAGGGGAGACCTTACCAGTCCTCAGGAATATTGCAAAAAATCAGATATTTCCACTACGTTGAGGCCAATTTCAAGCTACTTCCAGTCATGGAACCAATTAAAATTATCTCTGTCCTCTATTTTTTTGAATGATACCAAGAAACAGCCAATAAAACCATAAAAACCATCCTATAAAACACTTCAGATATGCTTTTTAAACCAAACACAAGGTCAGATTTTTGCTTTTCCCATCATGTGCTGCATGAGGCAGGATTGTTTTTATACTGTGCACACCATCCTTGCAGATCAATTCTCTCATAGCTTGGCCAAAATTTACTGCTCATAGCTTATCTGAGTGAGCTAAGCTCATGACATAGATCTCCGTGATGGACCCTGATGTCAGTGACAAAGTTCTATTTACTGGACAGTCAGAGGGTTAATATTGCTCCAAGTGTCCACCACTGAGAGGGTTAATGAGGCTGGGTTAAGAAGTATAATTCTCTGTACTGCCCACGTATAAACCACGAGTTTAGCTTTGCTAACGTATCTACAGATAGCAGGACCAAGAGCTAGAGTATATCTCAGCAAACTCAAATAAGTATAGTGGAACTTCGGTTTTCGTATGCCCTAGTTTTCGTACAATTCAATTTTCGACAACTTTTTTCATCAAAATTTTGTCCCAGTTTTCATACATCCGCTCAATTTTCGTACAGTTGAAAATGGTCCAAACCAAACTTGTCTGCCTGCTCACGTGGCTCGGCCACTCATTTCCTGGAATCAAGCGCCCACACAAAGCATCCTATGCGTTTGTGACTCAGTCTGCCTTGGTGTATCGTTGAGTGAGCATCACCACCAGCGTTCATCCAAAACATTTCATAATAATCCATTGTTTTTAATGCTTGTTGTGGAAGAGTTGGTGGATGACCACAGGGAAGAGGTAACCACTGAAGAGCTGCAAGACATTCAACTGGAACAGCAACAGACCGCAGCTGAGAAAATTGCTTCAGAGGAAGAGGAAGAGAGAGGAGAGAATGTGCCTTCTTCAGTGATTAAGGATATGTGTGCAAAGTGGAATGAGTTGCAGAATTTTGTGGAGAAATATCACCCTAGCAAAACTGTTGCAAGCTGTGTCTGCAACATGTTCAATGACAATGCCTTGTCCCATTTTAGGAAATTCTTAAAGAGATGCCAGAAACAGACCTTTCTGGACAGATTTTTTGTGTAACAGGGGTCCAGTGACTCTCAAGCTGGTCCTGGTGCCAGTAAAAAACAAAGAAGGGAAGTAACCCTGGATAGGGCCTTGATACCTGAATTCCTTATGGACAGGGATTCCCCTTCCAAACAATAACCTCTCCTCCTCCCTCTCCCCTCCTTGCTGTCTTCCATACGCCAACAAGAGTCTTCAATAAAGGTAAAAGTGATGTTAAGTGTTCATTTATCCATTTTATTAGTTATATATATTTTGCACTGTTTTCTGTATGTAAAACTATAGTTATTCTGTATAAAATGTACTTTTTGTTAATATTTTTGGGTGTCTGGAACGGATTAATTGGATTTACATTTTTTCTTATGGGAAATGTTATTTCAGTTTTTGTACGATTCGGTTTTCGTCAGTTTTTTGAACGGATTAATCACGAAAACAGAGGTTCCACTATAGTTAATTGCTAATGAGGGTAATATAGAATTAGTATTATGGAAATAGTCATACAGTATTGGTGCTAGTATTTGTTACACTACAGTATTTTACCAATAATAGTTACGTGTACTGGTATATAAGTAAACAATACCCAAGCTAAAACTTTAAAAATGTTTTTTCTTTACAGGTATCCGCAGAAAAGTGAACTTACTGAATCACATGAACCTGTGCGAGCAGCAGCAGGTAATCTGGACGATGTCCTTCATAATTTTTCTTAATACTAGGTCACTTTTGTTTTACATGGCTATAGTAAGATGTATTTATGCACACACACACACACACACATACACACACACACACACACACACACACACACACACACACACACACACACACACACACACACACACACACACACACACACACAGTAAAACAAGAGAGACAGGGGTGGGTAGACTGCATTTTCTTGGACTGTAAGATGGCATTTGACACAGTTCCACACAAGACATTAGTGCAGAAGCTGGAGGACCAAGCAGGGATAACAGGGAAGGTACTACAATGGATCAGGGAATACCTGTCAGGAAGACAACAGGGAGTCATGGTACATGGCGAGGTGTCAGAGTGGATGCCGGTAATGAGCGGGGTGCCACAGGGATCAGTCCTAGGACCAGTGCTGTTTCTGGTATTTGTGAATGACACGACGGAAGGAATGGACTCCGAAATGTCCCTGTTTGCAGATGATGTGAAGTTGATGAGAAGAATTCAATCGGATGAAGACCAGGCAGAACTACAGAGGGATCTGGACAGACTGCAGGCCTGGTCCAGAAACTAGCTCCTGGAGTTCAACCCCACCAAGTTCAAAGTCATGCAGATTGGGGAAGGGCAAAGAAGACCACAGACGGAGTACAGTCTAGGGGGCCAGAGCCTACAAACCTCACTCAAGGAAAAGGATCTTGGTGTGAGTATAACACCGGGCACATCTTCTGAGGCGCACATCAACCAAATAACTGTCACAGCATACGGGCACCTGGCAAACCTAAGAACAGCATTCCGACATCTAAATAAGGAGTCATTCAGGACCCTGTACACTGTGTACATTAGGCCCATATTGGAGTATGCAGTGCCAGTTTGGAACCCTCACCTAGCCAAGCATGTAAAGAAACTAGAGAAAGTGCAAGGGTTTGCAACAAGACTAGTCCCGGAGCTAAGGGGTATGTCCTACGAGGAGAGGTTAAGGGAAATCGACCTGATGACACTGGAAGACAGGAGAGTTATGGGATATGATAGCGAGATATAAAATACTGAGGTATAGACAAGGTGGACAAAGACAGGATGTTCCAGAGATGGGCCACAGAAACAAGAGGTCACAATTGGAAGTTGAAGACTCAGATGAGTCAGAGGGATGTTAGGAAGTATTTCTTCAGTCATAGAGTTGTCAAGCAGTGGAACAGTCTAGAAAGTGATGTAGTGGAGGCAGGAACCACACATAGTTTTAAGACGAGGTTTGATGAAGCTCATGGAGCAGGGAGAGAGAGGAACCAGTAGCAATCATAGAAAAGGCAGGGCCAGGAGCTATGACTCGACCCCTGCAACAACAAATAGGTGAGCACACACACATTATACAGCAATAACATGTTTGGAGATAATGCATTACAATATTGAAAAAAATAATCTACAAAGAATGACTAAAGGCATTGGAAATCCCCATGTTGGAAGATAAGAGGAAACATGATACATATAGCAAGACTGATTTACAAACATAGTTGAGGCCTTTTATGAATTGCAGTTAAATGCACACACACAGTTATGTAGTGTCTGTTCCTAAAGAAATACCTAAGTAAAGCAGAAAATGTCCAGAGGTGTGAAATAAATTTGATTCCTTTAACTGATGTATAAAATTTGACCTATTGAGGATAACAAAACCTTAAAACTGCCTATACACATGTATTACAAGTAGAGGAGGGGAGACACAATAAACACATAAAGCTTAATAAAAACATTAAAAAACAGTCACTGGAGTAAGAGATATATAGAGGAGGAGGTGTTAAATAGAGCCAGTGAAAAGCAGGGGCACCATGTGCACAATAAGAGAACACTGTGTTAATATCCATGGTCCAAAACTGCCATCAGCAGACACAAGAAACATTGCCTGAACAAATGTAGAAGTTTTCAAAATGAAACTGAATTATTACTTCTTCCAAGTGCTAGATCAACCAGACTATGATTGCTGTGTGAAAGTGAACATCTGGCTTGTTTCGTTGGGATTTTTTTTTTTTAGGGCCTTTCCCAGGATGCATTCCACAACAGTCGACAAGCTCTCATGCCTCTATTTACGGATAACTAATGGGCAGGAGGTGTTAGGAGATTTTCTCATAAAATGAAAATTTCCTTGCAAAACTTACAATGTGTGGTTTTCATATTATAAAATATTAATTACAAAGAAGGCCTCTAGCATGCCTGGGCATTTCAGGCAGACTAATCCTAATTCTTACTCTCTATTAACACAGATTATGGAGCAGTACATTTTAATATACCTTATTGCATACTAGGTAACTGAAGTGATTAAATACGTAGATTTATAATAATGAGGTAGTACAAAACATAACAATATTACAATTAGGAATTTTAGTAGTAGGAATGGTTAAGTCTTGGCCTGCACAAGTTTATCCTTGCCTAGGATTCAACCCAAGTCAGTTGTCAGCCAAACACCCTACCACTGTACTTCTTGATACCTAAGTAATCCCACACATGTGCATATTATTTCTTATAGTGCTCAAAGAGCAAATAGTTCAGTTTGAAAGATTTACCTAACTTGTGAAATTCCATGCATGTACACTGGAACAAGACAAGTTTTTATATAATTTAACCCTGTCAGGGTCCAGAGGCCAAATTTCAAAGTGTGTGCCAGAGTCCAAGAATTTTCAAAAAAATTTTCATTATTTTTTCTTATGAAATGGTAGAGAATCTTTTTCTGAAGGTAATAAAACCAAAAAGTACGAAATTTGATGGAAAATTGACGAAATTATGTTGCAAATTTTGATGTGTCAGCGATATTTCGCATCGGCAGTTTTGCCAATTTTGACTCCCATTTTAGGCCAATTACATTATTCTAGTCAACCAAATTCTTAGCTATTTCGCTAGTATTACTTCCATTCTATCAAATGAGCACAAGAAATTGCCCAGTCAGCTATTTTAACTACAAAATAAAGTGATTGGAAATTGGTAATTTGGCCAATTTAATGCAAAGTTCAAAATATTCCAGTTTCAAAATAGGGTCCAGAATAAACAGTGCAGGCATTCTTGGCACTAAACTAACATTTCCTCTGTTCATTAGTTACTTTTTCAGGCTTTATAAATGAATTCCATTTTGATTTTTTATTCACATAATGAATTTTTATTCAAGCCAAAATATGGAAGATTTACTGTTATGCAATATTGAAATAATTGTATAAATAATATCACCACATTTGTTAACATATATTAGACCCACCAGCTGGTGCGTATTAGACGTGTGAGATCATTTGTTTACTGTTGAACAATGGCAAAATTTTAACATTTCTGCTACTTTGAGCTCAGTTTCAAACATTTCTGCTACTTTGAGCTCAGTTTCAAGCCATTTCCAGTAAAAAAAAATAATCAAAATCATTTCTATTTCTGTAATATATCTTCTATTCTATGAAATGAGACCAAGAAATTGCAAATACAACTATAAAAACATACGGAAAAACACTGCAAAGTCGCTGTTTTAATCGAAAATTGTGGTCTCGGTTTTTTTCACATTATGCACTGTGTGCTGCAGGATTTCTTTTATGTGGTGCACACTTACCACATAGATGTATTCTCTCATATCTAGGCCCAAATTTACCGCTCAGAGCTTATCTGAGTGAGCTGAGCTCATGGCATAGAACTATGGTTTGGACCCTCAGCTCAAAGCCATAGAACTACAGCATGAACTGTGAAAGGGTTAATTGCATTGGATATTCAGGATCACCTGACCCTGTTTAACCACTTTAGTTTTTACAGAGGTATGAAATCTGATAGAATGGTGTAACTCAAATATGAGAACTGAAACCAGCAACAAGAGAATAAGCTGTGATTGAAAATTGTCCTAACCAAAAATTCAGTATCATTCAGCAGTTCTGTAAAGCTTCTTTCCTAAAGGAGTTTGCAGTATACAAGTAGAGGGAGCAAGGAAATACTGTACCCCATTTGTTTTTATATGTGGGACAACTAGTGTTAGCGAATACAAATAGATTTGATGAAAATACAGAAATGTTGCTGGATTCGGGAGACCTTTGGTAACAAGATCTTGTATTTAAAAGCAGCATAACATAGTGTAAAAATACTATATACAGTACAGTGAAACCACACCTGTGATTTTAAAAAGCAAAAGGTTAAAGATGCATGAAAAAGTATAGTAAAAGTCAATAAAAGTCGAAAGAAAACAAAAATTTATCTAGGCGTGTTCCGTGGAAGTATTTTGATCAACTGTGTTGAAGCTATGTAGTGCTTGTAAAGTGCAGTACTAAATTTAAATCATGGTCAGCAAATTATAGTACTGTACAGTATTACATACAGTAAACCCTCCACTTTTATTTATTTATTTATTTATTTAATAATTTGAACATACATACAGAGGTACAAAAAAATACAGGTAAAAGCAGCATGCCAAAGCAACTTGTATGCATAGCATTACGGGCAGGCTTAAAATTAACTTAAGATTAACTAAGCAATGATGTAATCAGTGATAAAACATTATTGTAAACAGATAACAATAAAGCACAAATGAGTATTACAAAGACAGGTCATATGGTTGCATGCACTGCTGTACATTCAGTAGAATGGAGTATTCTGTTAGGTAGCGTATTTAAAAAATAACAAAGTTAGATTGAGTCTTAGGTTTAACATTTATGTGATATAATTGTGAGAAACATTTAAGATATACAATTTACAAGGTTCAGTTATTCAGTATTTATTTGGTTTTGGGTGAGTAAGTGATCTTTGAGAAGAGACTTGAATTTATAAACAGGTAGTGTTTCTTTTATATTTACAGGTAATGAATTCCAGATTTTAGGGCCTTTTATGTGCATTGAGTTTTTGCATAACATGAGATGGACACGAGGAACATCAAAGAGTGATCTGTGCCTTGTGTTATGGTCATGTGTTCTGTTGAGGTTGGCAAGGAGATGTTTGAGGGGAGGGTTAATATCAGAGTTAAGTGTTCTATGTATGTAATAGGTGCA